TATTGAATGGATTCACAAAGGAACAAATGAAACTTCTGCTTCCTTTATTTCTGTTGCTTTTTCCTCAATGTGAGCATATTGGTTCTCTCCAACTTAAATCATGATTTAGAAATCTCACAGTAGAAATACCTTAATTGCCCCCTGTTTCTAGGGTTGAATTCCTCACCCCCAGCATAACTGTAGTTATTGTTCTCAGTGTAGCCAGAATGGCTTTTAATCATAAAAGCCAAGAATATTATCATAATCATGACTCTTCCCGGCCTAGTTCACTTTATTGACTGACTATCTATCCATATTTGAAGTCTGGGTTTAAAACTACTGCCCTAAAATACTCTAAAAAGTCTCCTAGGAGCTGGGGAGATGGCTCCCAAGCATGCAGGCCTGAATTTGAAGCCCCAGAACCTGTATAAAAGTCAGACCCAGTGGCACATAGCTGTAATCCCAGGAGCATGATGGGGGCTGGAGACAGGAGAACCACCACCAGCTCACCAGCCAGCCAGGCACGTGCAGCAGCAAGCAACAGATGGACTCTATCTGAGACAAGGTGAAGGCGTGGCCTGACACCCAAGGTCGTCCTCTGGTCTCCACGTGCATGGCCTGTTCCCTGTACTCCTGCAGCCTTGAACAGTCTGTCTTCCTCCCCTCGTATAGCTCCTACCGTCAAGGCCTCGGCCTAGATGTTATTTTCTCTGACTGCAGTTGTACATCAGGTCCTTCTTTGGACTCTCATGGAGTCTTTGTGTCATCCCGTCCCAACTCCGGCCTCAAATGATTCAACTACCCGTTAACCACCCTGGGTTCCCCGAAAGCCTCTGCGTTCTATCAGGTCAGCAGCCGCATCTGCTCACTGCACAAATTGAGTTCTGGTGCTTCCTCCAGCAAATATTTGCTGAGTGAGTGAAATAAGGCATCACACTCTGGTAGAATGATCAAACTATGTATGTGGAAAAATCTTATTCCAAAATAAGCATCATGGGAACAGAACTAATCTGTGTCTATTCTCGGCGTATTGTCTTCTTGCCCCTGTTCCTCAGGTTTGTAAATGTGGGGGAAATGGTTCTGTGTTCCTTCGGTTAAAGGTTCACTCTAGGACAGGATTTGGAGCTGGTGTACACTGTCAATTCCAGGAAGTCTTGAAGGTGATAATGTTGCAAAACAAAGAGCAGATGTTTACTGGCCCCATTGGGCAGTGACGACTCCTTTGATTTCAGCCGTGTACAAGAGATGGTTTTTTAATCAGTACTTTGAAGTTAAAATTAAATTTATGTTCATTATTTTAGTATATCCTAAGTTGTTTAAGTTCCAGGTTCTATTCTCATATTAATGAGGAACGAAAATGAAGTATCTCACACTTCTAATGTAGTTATTTATAATGTGTTACCTATAAACTGAAAATTGTGTTCTTTGAGCTATTAATTTCTACACTTGTTATTTAGTCTACCAAAGCCTCTTAATCACAACATTTTGTCCCATATGTATTGACTCTGGAAAGGCATTCTGTGCCACCTGATGATCCGAGGGCATCGTTCTTTTGATTTCATGGAAACTTAAGAACTTGTTTTGAAATACAACATACTGATTATAGTTTGTTTCTTCTGTGGAAAAAACACTGACCAGAGCCAGCATAGAGGAGGAAAGGGTTTCTTTCAGCTTTACACTTCACAGTATATCGTTGATCAAAGTCAAAGCAGGCACTCAAGGCAGGAACCTGAAGGCGGGAACTGAAGCAGAGACCATGGAGGACCTCTTCTTACTGGCTTGCTTTCCTGGCTTCTTCAGTGACCTTTCTTACATAGCCCAGGCCCATCGGCCTAGGGGTGCTACCCTCCCCAGTGGGTGGGCCCGCCTGCATCAATCAGCAGCTCTTCAAAAAATGCCCCACAGACGTGTCCCCAGGCCGATCTGATGGAGGTGATTTCTCAGTGGAGGCTCCCTCTTCCCGTGTGTTTCAGTTTGTATCTACCTGACAGAAACTAAGGGAGACACAGTAACAGTATAGATCACTGTGGGGACACAAAGGCTAGGAAGCAGGAGGAGGAACTTAAATGTTCTGCAGTCCTCCTTGTGGTTGTCGTGTTGAACATCTTAGCCTGTGCGTTTCTAGGGTGTTTTCTGAGTACATCGTGTCCATTTGGTCTTCGTTTTCAAGTGAAAATAATGTCTGTTGCACTGGCAGCCTTGGAATGCGTGTTTCACCGGACAGCTAAGAAGTGGGTGATAGTCTTTTTAGGAACTTCCGCCTTTCAGGGTTTGGCTACTGTAATTCTGCCTCTGTCACTCTGGTTACCAGACCTTTGTTGCCAGGGGTGGCGGCACAGTCTGTATCTGCAGCACTCAGAGGCAGAAGCCAGTAGATCGCTGTGAGTTCCAGGCCAGCCAGGACTGCATGGTGAGACACTGACCGCCCCCCACCAAAACCAAAGGTTAAAAATAGAAAACATCTGTAAATATCTGTGCAGGCTTCATTTGCAGGCCATGAAAGCATGCTGCCTAGCTGAAGATTGAAAGATACAATTTTATTTAGTGGGTGTTACAAGAGTATGGGAATGTTTAGGAAATTGGAGGCTAGGCTGGACGACCAGGAATAAGCTTGAATGGAGGCATTATGCTAGGGAGTGGCCTCTTCCCCATAATCCTGGAGAGAGTGAATCCCAGGGCAGCCACTGCAGTGGAGGATTCAAAGACACACCATCCTTGCTGATATTCGGGGACACTTCTGTCTCTAGAGCCGTCCAGAGTTTTGGCTGGATCCACCCGGCCCCAAAGTAGACGCCTGGCATGGCCACCTCTTTCTTCTGTACCCACACTGTTCCGTGGCCTGTCCATGAGAAGCTGAAAGATAAACAAACACAGCTCCACAACCATGATCCCCACCAGAACGGCACGATCCCCACCAGAACAGCAGGGGTTTATTCTGTCCATTTCTGTCTTCAAAACTTCAATTAGTGCCTTTCATCGCCAGAATTTAAATCCTGTCTGGAGCCCTTGCTCTAGAGCATCCAGAAAATGTCACTTTGGGTTGTCTAACCCTGCCGTATAGGGCAGTCACGCCCACCCACCAGGGGTCTGGGGGGATACTGATGACAACTGTGTTCACCACACACCCATCCTGGCTCTGGATGTTGGATGGGCGTGCCCTTTGTATGCATCTGTATATGAAAAAGAATTTGAAGGCAAGACAAAGAGGAACATCTGGTCAGAAGGGCAAGCCTACCCTTTGTCTCTCCTCATACATTCTGCTCAGATCATGGTATCTCCATCCTTCTTTCCGTCTCTGTCTCTCTTGTCTGTCTGAGTCTGTCCCCTGTGGGCCCCATGCATACTAAACAAGCAGTCTTCCACCCAGCTGTATCCCCAGCTCTCCTTAGTTTCTGTTTTTAGACAGTGTCTCACGAACTTGCCCAGTCTGGTGTCGAACTCATGTTGTAGCCCAGGCTACAAACCGGAGTCTTCCTTGTGTGACTCCTTTGTTCTGTTCCTGTTTAATCAAATTTGGTTGATTCTGTGTCTCCAGTTACCCAGTCCAGCTGTCTCTGTCTCAGCTGCTCCCTGCTGGTCCATGCCACGGCATTCCTCTTCTGAGCTGAGGTTCAGCTCCTAGGTGCTGGCATGGCCCCCATCATTGCCAATCTGGAATCAGACATTTAGACCACGCCATTTCTCTGCTCAAAGCACATTAGTGAGCTTCCACCACATCTTGGATCAAAGGCAGAATCTTGACCACAACCCACAAGGATCTTTCGAGTATTCTCTCCCGACCCGATTCCTCCTCTACCTTCTCATCTCCCCACGACATTGCTCTGGCCTCCCACAACATTGCTCTGGTCTCCTTGGTGATCTTGGGAACACCTGTCCCTGAGGAACTTGCTGGTTGCTGAACATTCTCCTTGTAATGCCCAGATAGCCACAAGGCTGTCTCCTCTGCTCCAGATTAGGCTTGGCCATCTATCTACTCAGTGATGCCGGGCCCATCACTCTATGTAAAGTTGCAGAGGATTGCCCTCTAGACCCCTCCTCTGCTTCATTTTTCACAACACCTTGTAGTATATAATGAACTCTAACTTTTCATTGTATATCCTCCCCCTTGAGAAAGCCGACTTTTACTTTACTATTGCATCTTCAGTCGTTGTACAACATAATCATTGTACACAATAATCATTCTCTAAATGTTTATTATGTGAATGTGCTTCTCCATGCATGCCTCATGCTACACTCATCTAATTATTTATCGGGGGATGAATTCCTATGAGGAACAGACAAAAAGGTTTAACAGTAGTCCATGAGCATGCCATCGTCCACTCACTCTCCCCAGCACCACAAGATTTTAATTCAGCATGTTGCCACTTCGCATTTCAGTGACCCTTCTCCCAGTCGTCTCTTGTTACAATGTTACCTCTCTTAAGTCTCATTATTTAAGACTCTAAATGTCACCTTGGAGAGGCCTTCCTTTGCCATGGGTCCAGGTTAACCCTCAGCCTCATGCTCCACCACCATGTACCATGTTTTATGTTCATGACGGCACACGGCACTTCAAATGCTTCTGAGTTGTATATTTATTTATCTGTGTTTGATTTCTTTTTCTAAACTGTAAGCTTTGCGACAATAAGGAGACTTGCCTGTCTTTTCCAACAGTATTTTCAGTCAACGTGTGTTTGATAATGGAATAAACACTAGCTACCATTTTTCATTATTATGGATTCTCTCAGTGAAATGGATGGACTATACATGATTTTTTTTTCTGAATTGGCAAAGAAGCATCTTTTCATGTACAAACATCTCTTTTGAGTAGCTGGCAAATGCCAAGTTGAACTGGAAACTTGAACACTTGGTTCGCAGGTCAGATGGAGCTGGTGGTACTTGATCTCTGGACTTCGTTTGCTGGTACACTGTAAAATGTCTTAACTTTTGAAGCTCCCTTCTCACTCGTCCATGTTAGTAACAAGAAACCACAATTCCTTAGTGACTCTCGCATTTATTTATTTATGTATTTGTCTCGACAGCTTTTGGAAAGAACCAACACTGGTTTTGAAGAATCAGATTGTGTTGCTCCCAAGAGTCCACTCCACTTAGCGGTAAGCGAACTGCTGTGGGCAGCTTCCCCTGTTTGTCTCACAAAGAACAAGTTTCAGAAACTTTGCCTGCTCTTGAGATGTAACCCAGAAAGGCCGTGATCCATGCTAATGAAAACAGCAGATATTAAAGCATGTGCCACCAAGAGGGACTGCGTCACCAGCTTCACCTTAGATACAGTCACCTACCTTGTCCTCAGTGTCCTCATCTATAGAATGGGGACAAATAAAAAGATGAAGCCTACATAAAGTCACTACCATGGAAGGAGTAATAAATGATCACCATAAGCTTTAATTATTTTTTTAATATAGAGGGAACATTTCAGCTGAAGAGATCCGATTATGGAGAGTAATATGCAAATATTAAATCTATGAATAATCAAATGTCACATTTTCAAATGTCACAATTAAAACCTGTGTAAGTTTTAAGCAAAACTGTGTGAGAAAAGGAGCAGGTTTAGAACAGCAACTATATCATTCTTCCTGGTTTGCGGCTGTCCTCAGAGGAGGTTCCTGGGCTCTTTTTCATGCTGGAGAGGTCTGGGCGGGCCGGACAGAGTTCTCATTAGCAAAGCTTCCTCCCACCTCCTGGTAATCAAAGCGGGGAGTGTTGACTCCAAAACTCTTCCTGGAGGCTCTTCCACTCCGGTATCTCTGCTCCAGATGGTGTCTGGTTCACCCTCAGTGATTAGCCCCTGTTTGAAAGAGCCCTGCTGCCTGGCAGTCATGCCCAGCCACAGCCAGCTTGCCTGCCCACAGTGTTGCTAAAGACTGAACACTCAGGCATGGTCTGGTCATAGAGGTCAAGATAGTACTTAGACATGCCTTTGTTTAGTAATACAGTGGGACAGGATTCAAGGAGAATGGAAAGGGGCCAGGTCTACTTTTAACTGGTAAATTTTACCTGTATGATGCACAAACACTTCTTCACTGTTATTCTCACGACCATTTAGGGAGAAGAATGTTGTATTAATAAGCACAGGTGGGCATTCCTGCAAGGTGAGAGGGGACAAGACCCTGACAAAGGGTCGGAGGTGTCCAGGGCCAGTCACCCTCCACTGCCTGTCTCCCCACAGGAGAGAGACTTGTTAGTGCACCTGGAGAGGCCCACTCATAGCCTCTCACACCCACACGCACACCTACATTTTGAATGCTGTGAAATCAGCTGTCCATCTTTGTTCCAGGAGGAAGACTTAGATGGAGAAGGTGGGTGGGCAGTGGGATGTTCGTATGGACAAAGCTTCAGAGCAGTTGGCTCTAAGAGCAGGCTGCCCTTGAAAACCCCTGTCAGCTGTACCCGAGCAAGGCTCCCCAGATGCCTTTAGCGAGGCTGTGTGGGTTTTTAGAGCAGGATCCTCGTGCCCTTTGAGCATGGAGCTGATTGCATTGCTGCTGAGAAGAGAGGTCCAGGCTTCCAAAAATTCTGTCCTCATTTTCCCCCCGAAATGATTTGCTTTGTGTTTACTGTGTGCGAGGCGCACTTCTGAGCTCTCTGGGTCCTCCACTCACATAGAAGAGGGTGGCATGGTGGTAACACTGTGCAAAGACTGGGCTTTGGTCGTGCTGTGGCTGGCAGAGGCCAGAGAAGATGAGCAGAGGCGTCCTAGATGCCACGTCACATCAGTGACGCATCTGAACATGTTGTCTTCCACTGTGAAGGAAAGGGGACGAAGCAGTTAAGGCTCTGAAGACCCTTTTGAGTTGGTCAGTTTGTGTGATGTTGGCCAAGTACCTAACGTCTTGTGTCTGTCTCCCCATCCATCAGAAGAAAGGAATATTGGTGCCTCCTCAAGGGCCCCTGTGGGAAGGGCATGAGCTAATCCGGGTAACGCAATCAGAAGAGCACCTGGTGGCATCTGTGTGTCAACAGCCAACTTCGTCCTCACGGTTATCACCACGAGTCTCTCTCCTCTGTGAGACACACACTGGCTGGGAATAGCGCCCGTCACTTTTCTAGGAGGAGATCGCTGCTCCAGGGAAGGAGCGAAGCCTTGTAGAGCTTCCCGTACTGGAGAGACATCAGGCGAGCAATAGCACGCCAGATGGTAATAAGTGTCACAGGAGAAAATGAACTGGAATCCGTGTGCTGGAGGACGGAGGTGGCAGACAGGGTGCTGTTTGACAGAGAGAACGCCACGTTCACACAGTGGGCCTGAGTTAGTCACACTGCTCTCCGGCAGAAGATTCTGGGCACAAGTGTAAAATCCTGGCATCGGAGAATGCTTGGCATGTCACGGAACAACAGTGGGACCACCAAGGAGGGGTCAGAGTGGCGAGGGAGAGAGAGTGGGGGGGGGCAACCGCCACGACATCTCACGGAACCTCCCGGTCCGTGCTAACAACTCTGACTTACTCTGAGCAAAATAGAAACCACTTGTTCCGATCTGAGGAGATAAGGAAGATGGTGTGACTTCTGTCTCAAAGGTCACAAACTTACAAAGGAACAGAAGCCACAGCCAGAAACGATGGGGGTGACTTTGACCAGAATGATCCCGATGGACCTGTTCTAGAACTATTTCATTCTTCCCTCGACAAGCTAGCACTTAAAATTATTTACTGCAAGACACCTATAAATACGCTCATCACCCTCTCCAGGCTTTACTGGAGCTGTTACCTTGATAAAACCCAAGGCCTATTGTTCTTAGGTGAAAGAATTCTAGCAGGGAAATTGAAACAGATGCCCCTAAACCTTGACCCATAGAGAGACCTGACCTGCTTTGAGGTACTAGTTCCTGCCTGAATGATTCAGATCTCCAGGGTTATCAGCTCAGAGAATCTCATATTCATTTCTTCCACTTGAAAAATTTAAATCAAGAAATGAGGTTATGCAAATGGGAGGCTCCAGCTGTTGAGATTTCCAGATGGACTTGTGGTGTCCGCGAAATGTGCTGGGCTCCCAAATCCCCTCTCCTTGTCTGCCCATAGTTTCCATCTTTAAAGGCTTAAGTAAATGAATCACGATTGAGGCATTTAAGTTGCCTAGTGAGATATTTCTTGATCTAGTATAAATTAATAATTTAAATCATATTAAAGTCTGCTACTCTCAGTGATATCTTAGCATAGTAAAATTCCTCCCCCACAAGAAACTATTTGCAACAGTTACCTGGTGGCAAAGGGAAAATCCGTTTTCTCCGACGGAGTCTCACTGGGTATATCAGCCACACTCCTGAACAGGCCAGGCCCCTGCCCAGGAGAAGGCGGCCAGTGCAGAGTGAACACCACGTGGTTGTGGTGTTGTTGTTGTGGGCTTTTTGTTTTGGCATTTCTTATGTCTTACTGGTTTGTTTTTATTTTCATTTTATTTTTGGTTTTGAGAGAGAAGAAAAAAAATGAGGTTGTATGGGAGGGAGGTGGGAGGCTCGGGAGGAGTTTAGGGGAATGGAAAAACATGCTTGAAATATAGTGTATGAGAAAAAAATTAAGGGAAAAAAAAAGAAGCTGCAAACAGATGGAGGAAACAGGAGAATCCGCCCTGTAGGTAAATCTGGCTTTTGATCCATTCTGAGCACTTTCACGTGCCCAGTCCACAAAATCATCCAGGCTGGAGCTGCAAAGCTGTAATTAGTAGCACTAATTGTGTTGTGTTTTATCCTAAGCTGCTTTAACCTGAAAACAACACATGAATTTTTGTTTTTTTTTTTAATTGTGGGGATTGAAAGAGAAAGTGCAGGGCTAAGTACCTCCTTACAGCTGTTGTAGAAATGCTCCCTGCCTCCTGCCTCTGTTTCTCCTTCCCCTGTGTGTCTTCTCTTTATTAAACCTAAGTGCCCCGGCCTCTGTCCTTTGTGTATCTACACACATCGTATGTTCTCCTAGGCTAAGTTCAGTGAACAGAAATGAAAGTGTTTACTGTTGGTTTTGTGCAGCGCTCTTGTGAGGAAAAGTCACGAATCACAACATAAACCCACTATCAAGAGTTTTATTAGGAAGAGGAAAGGACAGGGTGTGATCGGGCCTGCTGAAAGACAAGTGAGAAGAAGGAGGGGGTGTACATGGGATCCGTCTTTTAAGGACTACCCTGCGCATGTGCACATGGGCCCACGTGGCTACTCCATGCACGCGCATAGATCATGTGGTCACACTGCACGCAATTTACATGACCACGCAGCTTATGGATTATGTAGGATGTATGATTGGGAAATGACTAGGCGGAAATGACTAAGTGTCTGGTCCAGGCATGCGCGATCATGGTGGCGTGGCTGGAATTCCTATCATTTACTATTCTCATTATCATGGAGAAGGGGCCAGATTTGAAAATAGTGTGTAGAACCCTCTGCTGTCTACTGGGCCCAGGTCCCTTCAGCGTAGAGTCATGATTTCTCAGTAAGCTGAACCGATAACTACCACTTACTATAAAGTAGGAGGCCATGGTTTGGAAAGTCACAAAGAGAATAAAGTCTGAAAATCTGATTTACAGTCCTGCCTGGATGTTCCTATCACTAGAAATAGGCCCTTAGCTTAAGGTTAGATGGTTCTGAGTTGGTAATGGCTGAAGCTGATACAGGATATATGGGAGACATTTTACCACTTTCTCTTCTTTGTGGATATTTGCAACTCCCCATAAGAGGCCAAGGAACATGCGTCTAAACTGCCATATTGAATTTCCATTTTTTCACTCCAAAGGGCTCCTGGGTCAGCCTGTCTTACCTGAAACCTGGTTCTTCCACCCAAGGCTGCATAACCCTTAGCATAACTAGGTAACTCTGCCCCTCTGGGCGCTCCCTGGTAAGGCGAGGATAGCAAGAGCTTCTAAAGCTCAGTGAGGTGGTGCATTCCACTGAATGTTGCCAAGCTCACACCAAGCAGCCAGTTAGTGGTTACTTCAGAATTTAGGTTACGATACAGACTTCCTGTCCTGAGCAGTTACAGTTCTTGACACAGGAAGTTTGGTTTTCCTGTCCCTAGAGAGGCAGTAGTGGAGAGTAAAGGCACAGTAGTCTAGAACTTTGTCCCCAGAGCGTACCTTTTTGCTCCATAGCTATGTTCAAGACACTTTCCATTTACATGGAGCTTTCTACAGAAGGAATTTAGGTTTTCATTCAGCATTTGTTATTCTACCCTATTCCAGTACAGGCAAACACAAAAATATTTAGCCTTCACGTCAATCAAATGGAATTTCCAAGGGAAAAGTTCTGTGCCTTTTTAACCTATGAAAAAAGGTGTTTACAATAAGTATGGTGACATATACCTACATATGTGTTTGTGACCATCCCAGCACACGAGACGCTAAGCAGGAGGACTAAGGGTTTGAAGTCAGCCTAGGCTATATAACAAGGTCCTGTCTCAAAAAAAAGGACATTTGGGGCTGGAGAGATGGCTCAGAGGTTAAGAGCATTGACTGCTCTTCCAGAGGTCTTGAGTTCAATTCCCAGCATCCACATGGTAGCTCACAACCATTTATAATGAGATATGGTGCCCTCTTCTGGCAGGCAGTGATATATGCCAGCAGAATACTATATATAATAAATAAATCTTTAAAAAAAAAAAAAAAAAAAAAAAAAAGAACATTTACAGACCATAAACGAGTTGTGGAGTGCTTAGTATGGCACCCAGCGCTTAGAAAGCCCTCAGTAGATTGTTGCTATTACCAAAAGCAAATCAACAAATGCACGATTAGTATTTGGTAGCAATAAGTACTTCGACAACAAAGAAGTAAGCGGGCTGAACTTTGACACGTACTGGGGGCTTACTTCCCTGGTAAGGTGCATTAGCATAGATGTACCAGGACGGTCGGGGGTTGTCTGGATAAACATTTCCAGACAAGGAACAGAAAGTGCAGGCATAATGGCCAGAGGAGGAGATTCATGCGCTTAACCTTAGAGGGCAGTGTGGGCACCCAGGACATGCTAAGCATGCTGGGGAAGGCCGGAGCCCGGGCCTGGTTGGTCAGGGCAGGTTTTGGATTTCGCTGCCATCAAGAGAAGAAGCTCGAGGCTGAGTTTCCAGCAAGGAGCGGCCCGGTATCCGGCTTGATCGTAGAAAGGTTTCATCCGGTGCTGGTGCACACCGTAGATCACGAAGGGCCAGGGACCGAGGGGACACTTTGGCTGAATTCTGGTCAAACAGTATGGTGGGAGTGTGCAGCGCGGCAGTGCCTCAGATGAGACGTGGCGACAGTGTCCCACGAGTGGCGTGGAGGGCTGCCGCTGCTTACACAGCCCCTCTGTGGACGTGAGCGGAGGTGTGGGGTTCTCAGGGCACTCCTGAGAACATAGAGATGCCTCTGTGTGAGTTAGCCAGGAAGCACCTTCCCTGGGCTGACGTGACCCACCCGGAACAGGGCAAGGCGTCGTCGAGGGCGCTCTTTGTCACGGTCCACCGCACCACTGTCCCAGATGGCTTGTTCAGGGCCGCAATCCCGGGCTTAAGAGTTGGAGAAATACAGATGACCTAAGGGTGCGCCCGAGAGTCAAACTGCCGTTTGCCGAGAAGGCAAGGCTGCCGTCAGAGCAGGTTCCGGGAAGGGAATCCAGGATTCAGTGTGCGGCGCTTAGACATTCAAGTGCAGATACCAAGGAGAGGTCGGACCCGTGTGCTTAGAAATTGAGGGAAAAGTTGGGAAAGGGATATTAATAGGGATTCCTTACCAGATGATTTATATCACATGTTACATCTAGGATACACTTCTAATATGTGCAAATTATCGAAATCATTAACAAAAATAATGAAATGAGAAAATTTTATTTTTAACTTAACAGTACTCTTAATTCTTTTTTTTCTTTTTTTTTTTTTTTTTTTTTTGGTTTTTCGAGACAGGGTTTCTCTGTGTAGCTTTGCGCCTTTCCTGGAACTCACTTGGTAGCCCAGGCTGGCCTCGAACTCACAGAGATCCGCCTGGCTCTGCCTCCCAAGTGCTGGGATTAAAGGCGTGCGCCACCACCGCCCGGCTCTCTTAATTCTTATGGGTTCTTTTCAACTTAGTTTTTTGTTATTGTTGTTAATCTATACTCAGGGCAAAAATCATTTAAGTTATTTTTAGGAAGATGTTAAATTAAGCACATACACTTAATACCTGTTAGTTCTGGAAATAACCACCATTATTGGCTTCTTTGGTATCCTGAGTTTTTCTTGTGACTATAGAAGTACATATAAATATAAATATGCACACATACATCTTCTTTTTATATAAACGAGGCCATGCTAAATATATCGCCTGCAACTTAGTTTCTAAAAGCCTCTTTTGGATACTGTCATATCACCCTCCACAAGAGTCATAGCAACCTACACACCCACCAGGGTGTCTAAAATCGCTCCCCCTCTACCCCAATCTTAATGATATTGGGTATGGCAGACCCTTCATTCATTGTCCAGGTTATCATCAAATACCAGTATAAAATTTTACATAGATTTTCATATGTCTATCGGCATTTTACATTTTTTCCTTCTGTGAGTGGCTTTTTTGGATCCTTTGAGCACTTTCCTGGTTTCCGAAAGTTCTTTTTATATTAAGGAAATTAATCCTTTGTGTGGAGTCTTTTGCACATACATGGTACCTTGAGGGATATCCTACAGTGAAAAAAATGCTAGTGACAGAAGAGAGGGTCTCTGATGTCTAAAGACCCCAAGACAGACCTTTCCTGTTCCTTCCTTGTCCCTCTGCCCTCTGCACCCCAGGTAGCCCACCCCTTTCTCTCTTTTATTTTCAGGATCCTTTGCTTATCTATTGTGAGGGTGGGGAGTAATATTTTTCCCTTTACAGACGGAATTAAAAGCCTCCAACTTTCTGGCCTGTTTTTAATAGTATACAGCCTAGGACCCCATAATAGATCTGAACTTGGCCCTGACCCAGGTCCTGTATTTCCCTCATTGTTTCTGTGGCTTCATTATATTATCATTATCATCTCAGGCGAAGCTGGTGCAGCGTCTCTCTTCATCTCTGCGGCAGTCCCAGGAGGCAGCTTTTATTGCTCTCAGTTTATAGACGAGGAAACAAAACTCTAAGTACAGTTAAGAAACTCGCCTACACGCTCGTGCTTAGCAGTCAGTCGCGTGGTGGGCTGTGAGAGACGGATTGCGTGCCTGGATTGGATTACAGAGTCCTTAATGTTTCCAGTAATTTCCCCCGCTAGTTTTATTAACAGAAAAGATCCTGGAAATGTTCTCCTTGCCCACTGATACGTGTAGGGCTCTACTGGTAGATGAACGTATAATTCATACAGCCATTTGTCTTTGTTAGATTATTACATTGTTAGATCTAATAAGCAAGCACTGATGGATGTGATGCCTTTGAGCAAACTAGTTGACAGTGGAGGAAAAAGGCATTTCTATGAAACCAGAGGTTCGTGAATTAGTGCTTCAGTCTAACTTCCGTTTACTGGCTTTAGAGTCCATCCCAAGTGTTGCTCCAATGGGCTATTTTCTTTCTTTGTCTATTCATTCATTCATTCATTCATTCATTCATTCATTCATTCTTCTCTCATATATTACATCCTGACCGCATTTCTCCCTCCCTCCTCTCCTCTCAGTCCACCCCATCTCCTCTTCCCCACACCCCCTCCCCTCCCCCCATTTCCTTTCAGAAAAGGGCAGGCCTCCCAGGGACATCAACCAAACATGGCATATCAAGTTGCAATAGGACTAGGCATCTCCACGCAGGAGTCAGCGACTCTGGAAGCTCAGCCCCTCAGGTGGCTGCCACGGGATTATTTATGGCTTTCTTCTTCGCAGGCTTACAATGGGCACCACCAAGCCTTGGAGGTCCTTCTCCAGTCACTAGTGGACCTGGACATGAGGGACGAGAAAGGCCGGACGGCGTTGTACCTAGCTGCTTTCAAGGGCCACACAGAATGTGTGGAGGCTCTTGTTAACCAGGGCGCGTCCATCTTTGTGAAAGACAATGTCACCAAAAGAACTCCACTTCATGCCTCAGGTAGGTCTCCTCAAAGGTCCAGTTTGTTCCCGAGTTTCGCAGTGTACGCGTAGGTGTAAATAAAAGGGTAAAACAGGTGAGGTGGCTCAGCAGACAACGGTGCTTGCCACCAGGCCTGAGTGACCTGAGTTCAGTCCTTGGGACCCATGTCGTCTGAGGGAGAAGAATGGACTTCTGCAAGTTGTCCTCTGTTATCCAAATGCACAGAGCACATGCCACCCCAATAAATAAATTAATACGAATTTTAAAAGATTTTAAAAGGATGCTTAGCTGGGGCTGTAGCTCAGAGGGAAAACATGTGCCCAGCATGCACCAGGCCCTGGGCTCACTCCCCCCACCCCCACCCCCGATCTCCCGCAAAGGATAGCATCTTCCATCCTGATTTTTAACATCAGTTTTATTTCTACACCATGTATACCTGAATGCTTCCAAAATGCTTTTGATCTGCTTTCTCCTGAGACATAATTGGTGCTTTCTGGTCTTCCCAAAGAAAGAGCATAAGAGCCCTTGACCAAAGGCCACACCAAAACTTCTGAGCAAGGGGCAAGTTACACTGTGATCTTTAGAGTCAGTTAGACGGAACAAGCCACATCAGGATCCCAAAGCCGTTGAAAGCTTCAATGATGTTATAGGACTGCTTCATCAGGGGGTCGCAGACTGTGAGCTAATAAACACACCACTCTATCAGCCTACATGCTTCTTCACTTAGCCTTCGCTCTGCCTTCTGATGCATCTGATACCTGTGCGTGTCAGTCAGCAAGTGATGTGACTTTCCCGGAATGTCTTGGGACCCCTCCAGATGTGTGCTCAGATGTGAAGGCAATGCTGTGGTGGCCCAGCTAACGCCTAAGTACCTTTTAGTTGAGGCGATGCCGTGGTGTTAGCCTTTGAAGGGCAGTGTGCAACATCTTTTAAAGAAATGAGTATGGTCTTATTGAGGAAGTGAAGGAATCAAGACACATTTTCAAAAGATGTGTATAGTTCTCATTACTTGAAAGTTTTCTAGGAACGCTAGACAGGTAGGCATATTTTTTTCAGAGCTAGTGAGAGAGCTCAGTAGTATTGTTCTTACTGCCAAGCCCGATGGCCTGAATTTGATCACTGGGGTCCACATGTCAGAAGAGAGAACCAACTCCTGCAAGTTGTCCTTGGATCTCTACATGCATACCTTGACAGACACACAACAAAATAAATACAAATGTAATTTTTTAAAAAAAGTATATGTCTATCAGTATCCCTTAACAACCAAGCCACTGAACAGACACAATCCAGAGACAGAGAAAGCCTACCTGTCACCTGATTACCTGGAAACAGTTATTGCTGGGAAAAGGCCAGTGATGGCTGGGCATAGTCAGTTATAAATTTTTGTATCCCACTAGACAATATTCCTTGGTAATATTGTCAAAATCAAATTTGCTGTTTTAAAAGACGTGTTGCCTAGTGTAGCCAGGCATCTGCTTTGTTACCATGTAATTGTAGCAATTGGCAACGGCCCGCTTTGATTGTGGAAGACTACCCTTAAAACAGGTGAATAATGACGCCCAGCCTCACCCATTTGCCACTGTGATGTAGGTGTGGTCCAAGGGTTCCCCCTAGTGGTCAAGAAGACTCACTCTGGCTGTCCCTTGAGCTGTTTATTAAAAAGACAGGCTGTCAATTCTGCACAAAATGTCTGCTGTGCCGAAGCTTCAGCCCGAGATTCGGGGATCCACTTAGCCAAAATTTTTTTTTTTCAGTTCACGTGAGAGGCCAGTTCCTTTGTTTCAGACCCTCGGAGTAACTGTGAAGAGGGCCAGCCAGAATGAACATTGGAGGGTTGTTTAGCACAGATAAACACAGTGACAGTTGTGATCTTGGAGCAGCGTGAATAATGGCTGTCATTCAAAGCTGGGAGAGGCTGAGGTGGTGTAACAGGGCCGGAGATGGCAGGCCACAGCTAAGATGCTAATGTCTTTGCCAGAAGACGATTTGGGGAGAATATAGTGTGTGTGAACCCAGGGAGAACTGAGGCTTGTTACTCTAAGGGGGACTGAAATTTTCCTGAGGGCTGTGAGTTAAGCTCAGACAGCTACAGTGAGGATGCAGAAGCCCACTGTAGATGATTCTGCCACGTGACACACTAGGTGAGCAATATGAACGGAGAGATTCTTATCATTAGTCAAAAACGAAATAGCCTTGGAGTGATTCTGAGCATTGAAGAATATCAAATTGATACAGAAAGAAAAGCCGAGATCTGTTGTTCCCACCACCTGCACCCATTGCCGAGGGGATTTAGCGGTCAGTCCTATGCCAATCTTTTCCTTTTAGACATGCATTAAATGCCCTGCAAATTTCAACAAGGTAACAGGCTTTTGTATAGTTTTAAGAACAACAGCAGCAGCAGCAATAAAATGTTCCCTGGAACTCTAATCCATACTATTTTCTCCATATATACATTATATATACATATCTGTATTACACACACACACCCCTATCTGGATGCTGAGAACAAACTGCAGGCTCTGGCTTACAACACGTGGGCATTGTTCCTGTCGTTTGTTTGAATGCTGTTGATGAATGTGAGCTAATTCTAATATGTGTTGCTCCAGAACTGTGTGGAAATCAAGTTATCATTCTCTCTTGACTGGAAAGCAATAACAATGCCTGTAAAACAGCTCCAGGAGGGGCCTTTATCAACCCAGCATAACTACATTTATTCCCTTCTCTCGCCACATCCGGAGCAAGGGAAGTTCAATGTCCTTTGTGGTGTTCTTATTGTTCAGAGAGTAAGCCATGTCTGCAATGCTAAGGATATTCATCTTCATCTTATTCCCCGAGTGGAATTCCATGATAGCTGTAAGACTTTTCAAAGGTTCCATTCAATACACCAGAGAAATGCCTTATTCTAGAGGAGGGTTTATCATCCCATGAGGTTTGCTTCCCAGCATCCCTCACACTCAGGTAGGCACCCCCTTCTTCTAAAGGAGTATCTTCAGTTATGCACATGGGCACGTCCTTCCCCAACTGTGTATGGCATTGGGGTTATGCTCCATGTTCTGTCCACTGCGGAGTAGCTGGGGCAGGGAAGGGCCAGCAGCCCTAACTAGGGGCCCCGACTCCTCCTCACTCAGCATCAGCAGGGCAAAGAGGGGAGAGGGAAGGGAGACAGTAGCTGCTGTCACCTGCTGCAGCATTCCTAAGACGGCAGCATCAGTGAGGAGGGAACACGGGGCTGGGCTTCCTGTCCTGGCTTGGCGGTTTACATTCAGCCACTACTCATCAGTGAGAACTGTTGCTCGAATATCGAACTTAGAGTTCACTGACCCAGAAGAACGGGGACCATTCTGTTCTCCGCCCCCCTCCCCTCTTTCTCTCTCTTCTCGATCCTTCGTATCCCTGCTCTCTTCTCTTTAAAAAGGGCTGGTGATGGGCTTGACACAGGATGGTTATATGAAAGTGGAGTGCCTCTCAGTGGGACTGGCGTGTGGGATACTTATCAGTCCTATACAAGGAGATAGGAAAAACTCCCTGACTCTGGAAACAGAAAAGGAAGGTGAAGATCAAGGTATGCCGACAAGAAACGGGGAAGACAGGCTCACTGAGCCGCGCCACCCGGGCTGTCTTGAACCGGAAACCGGGACAGCTTGTTAGCAGCAGTGGGAAATCGCCGATTTGAAGTCCACATCAGTTTCGCCTGGGAGAGATACCCACAGTGTTGGTTTGTTAAAAGAGTGTCCACTGTTTTCTTTTTCAGTTGTTAACGGTCACACGCTGTGTTTACGACTACTACTCGAAATAGCAGACAACCCGGAAGTGGTTGATGTGAAAGATGGCAAGGGACAGTAAGTGTTTTTGTGTTGGCCCTTCTGCTGTTGTGATGGGTTGGTTTGCTGAGCCGTGAAGAAGGCTGACTGCTGAATTTAGGATAGGAGTACCTCTCTGTGGAACTCATAGGCAAGGAGCCTAGAACAGTGAGGCGTCGCCACCAGAGCATGTGTTTAAGTGAAGTCCTCCCTCCGTGTGTGTGTGCACACCTTAACGACAGCAAGCACCTTTTTATCCCAGCTGTAGACACGCTTCCTGGCTTTTAATATTTCCTATTTCTTCCCATCTTTGATTTATAAAGTGACCACTTTTCCACTTTTTAATTAATAATGGCAAAAAGGCAGACCTCAAGGGTCTGTCTCTGTTGTGAAAAAAAATTCCTTCAGTTTGTGTCCTCTCCTCATCTGTTTTTCTGTCTGTTGGCCTGTTCTTCACCCAGGCTCTTCTTACAGACAGGAAGTGCAGACAGAAAGGCTCTAGCCGCTATCCCCAGGGGAGCGAGCTTGAGTAACAGTCAGAGCAGGGCCCCGTCTTTCTTCTACACTGGCCGGACTTATTTCCAAAGCAAGGCTGTGCTGCCCATGGAGGTAAATCCTGAGCAAAGTTAACCATTGGTTACTGTGACAGGAGCAAGAGGCTCCTCTGTATGCACACATGCCCCAGCCAGTTGGCACCTAGTGATTGCCACACAGTTTTGAAAATGGTAGAATTAATGTGACTGCTTGAGATGAGACTGTCCCCTGCCCTGCCCTGCGCCTGTGTGTTAGGTCACCATTCCATGAGACCCTTAGAACAGAAACTGATCTCTTGTTCTACATGGCATAGAGTAGCAAATTAGATACATTAGGAACTACTGGGCAATTATTAAGAATAGAGAGAACTGTCCTCACTGGAAGTAGTTTGTAATCTCTTTTCTCTCTCCCTAGAACCCCACTGATGCTTGCAGTAGCGTACGGACACATCGATGCTGTCTCACTGTTACTAGAGAAGGATGCAAATGTAGACGCCGTTGACATCATGGGGTGCACAGCCTTACATAGAGGGGTGTGTACATCATCCTCAGCTTCAGTCAAGTGCATTTTCAATGGACCTACTTTGGTCTTCTCTACGTGAGCTTTAGGGGAAAGATTTGTTTCATAATATAGTCAATTAGCATCACAGTCAAAATTAAATTTATAATGATGCCATAATGAAAGCTATAGTTAGGTCCTGCTTTAAGACTTGTGAGATTGTGATAATAGACAAATGAATACCTACTGTTGGAGGGATTGGTTCCCCTTTCTGGTTACAAAATGCATATCACAGAAAACTTACAAAACATTTTTTTAAGTGTAGAAAAAGAAAATCACAATTACCAGTAATCATACCTCCTGGAGATAACCACATTTGATACATGCACACACACATATATACACACATATATACATTCACACATATACACACAAATACACATACACACATATATATACACACACATATACACATTCACACATATACACACATACACACAAATACACATATACATATATACACATGGATAAACATATACACATTTACACACATGCTCATATACACATATACACACATATATTCATACATAGTCACATATACACACATATATGCACACATACACTCACATAATACGTCTTTTTTTCTCTTAGCATGTATAAAGGACCATTTTCCATGCCATTAACTATTTTTCTGTCTGGTCATTTCTCATGCTTCATTGTGTACCGAGGTGAATTCGGGGATTACCTGGTTTGAGCAGGCATGCTCTTTCTGTTGCCCTTTGTGACAAATGAAGGCCGTGTATGCATCCTGTGGCCACTTGTTTGTACACATCTGCAGGATTGTGGTTTTTTTGCAGGCTAAAAATAAGCTAAGTGGACAGAGGTGAAGATCATGAAACTGTGGAGGTGGTGGAAACTCCTTCATAAGTGACAAAAATCATTCCCACCGTTATTGACACAATCACAGTTCTTATTTCTCGGCACCTCTTCTGGGCCGCACAGCAGCCTGGAAACTTTACATACATGTGCCTATCAGCGGCAGACTGCGCATCCAGCAGGGATCTCATACAGTTACAGTGGCACTGAAGAGGCTCCTTTCATGTAGAGCTTTCCTTGTGCCTTTGCTGCTTAGACATGCAAACACTTGCCACGGTGTTGCGACCCCCACGGAATCCAGCAGGGAAGCAGGCTGTGTGTGTTAGTTTAGAATTGACAGGCTGCTAGCCCAAGAGGGTAATAGGCTACGCTTTCTAGCTTTGTGTCCAGGCACTCTGATATTTCCAGAATACATCCCCATCCCCACTGTATCATGTGGTTGTGTTGTCTCCTTAGTACTGAGCAACCTGTGAGGTCACTGTTTCTCTGCCCATCACGGGTGAATAAAGTGAGTCAGAGAGAGAGGGGCAGAGTGACATATGCCTGACAGGGGTGGACGGCCAGGATTGAACATACTCCTCGATCCTGAAGCTGCTATTTCCTTCGGTAGCATGATACCTTCCCTGTTATGTTTGGAGAGATAGTTCATGCTTCTCAGGGGCTTTTCTGGTAGGGATTTTGCTAGTGTTGTTCTGCCTCCTACCTCCTCAGCAAAGCCATCTGGCTCTCTTAGGCCAGGCAGGGGGAGCCTGTCCATCCGTTCTCAATGGTGTCATCCCCAGCCAACTGAGGTGTGTTTTGTGTTTTTATTGTGACGCGCCAGATCATGACAGGACATGAGGAGTGTGTGCAAATGCTCCTGGAACAAGAAGCGTCGATCCTCTGTAAAGACTCCAGAGGGAGGACGCCCCTGCACTATGCGGCTGCTCGGGGCCACGCCACGTGGCTGAGTGAGCTGCTCCAGATTGCCCTTTCTGAAGAGGACTGCTGTTTCAAAGACAACCAGGGCTACACGCCGCTACACTGGGCTTGTTACAATGGTGAGTTGCATGTCAGCTGAGTGATTCAACTAGACGTTCTGACCTCACCCCTCTGCGACCCCAGTGGAGGTGAGAATGTTGCTGCATGCTATGGTTTCCAGCGTTTGTGCACCCCAGACGTGGCTTTTGTCCATCTTCGGTTGTTTTAAACAGATCCCTCATCCCCACCCCATGGCTGCCATGATGCCTTGACTGAGTAAAAGTTTGCTTTCCTCTTTCTGTGATACATAACTCCTCATCACAATCACCAACGGACTTGAGCAGTTGCAGTCAGAGTTTCTGATCTATGTCAGATAATCAGGAATCACATGAAGTATTAAAACTGTGAAGGTAAAATCAGAACACCATAGACAGTAAATAAAGTCCCTGCCCCGAGTGAACACCAGTGGATGTGTCATTTAGCTTTGGGTCTTTCTTTTTTAATACTCAGAGTCCACATTTGTTGCTGTACTTACCTCTTGGGATGTTTAAATTCCTTCTTTCACTTACTTGGGAAAAAAGGAGAAGTGACTGCTAATTGTACCAATTCATGACTATTGAAGTGGGCTGAGGCTATGGCTTCTTTGTAAAGTGCTTGCCTAGCATGTAAAGCCTTCGGTTCAGTCCCCAGCATTGTATAAAACAGGTAGTACTGCACGGTGGCACTGCTGGAATCCCAGCACCCAGCTGGCTCCGTCTTTCTGCTCTTGAGTCCTCCCAGGTGGAAGCCCAGGAGAGGAGACTTCTCCCACACAAGCAGTTCACAACTCCAGAATTCTAGAGCCGCCTCCCTCCAAGTCTGAGGTCCAAGCTCCCAGAACCCCCTTCGTTGGGCAGTGTGAAATATTGGAAGTAGTATGTCACTCTCCACTTTGAACTGCACAGACCGACCCAGCCTCCCACTGAGGAATGGAATGTTCAGGTCTTGTCCTAAGTTGGTCCTTTAGGGGATTCAAACTTTATAGAGGCTAAGATGTCTCGGACCACCAAGTGTTGGTTGGATGCAAATGGAAACCTGGGTGATATCACTTACTTGCTATGAGTTTCATATGTTTCTCAGTTCTTCTAAAAGCAGTATCAACTTGTCTCTTTAGTAACAAGGAAGGTTTTGTTTGTACTTTACTATTTCAAACCACCCACGTGGGACTTTGACTAAATTAGCCCTTAGGTCAGCCAAGAAGAGATTCCAGGACACTGATCTGTGATAAAGCCAACTAGCAATGCCTTCCTGCACTAGAACTGAACAGCACATTCCAAAGCTTACTTAGGTCCTTCATAAAGTCCCTATCATCTTGTGACATGGGCAAGATGAGTGTTCCTAGGCCAACTTGAATATGTAGAGGAAACTGAGGCACAAAGCATCACACATAAATTGTCTCAGGTCATGGAACAAATAAAATGGGTGGCACCCGCTAGTTTTATGTCAACTTGACACAAGCTAGAGTCATTTGGGAAGAAAAAACTTCAACTGAGAAAATGCCCCCACTCAAATGGCCTGTAGGCAAGCCTATGGTAGATTTTCCTGATTAATAATTGCTGTAGGAGGGCCCAACTCACTATGGGCAGTGGCATCCCCGGGCTGGTGGTCCCAGAAACTATAAGAAAGCAGGCTGAGCGATCCGTGAAGAATAAGCTAGTAAGCAGCATTCTCCATGGCCTTTGACTGACATACCGTTCCCGCCCTGACTTCCCTGGATGATGGACTTAGACAAGCTGTAAATTGAAACAAACCCTTTCCTTCCCAAGTTGCTTTTGGTCATGGTGCCTTATCACAGCACTGGAAACCCTAGCTAAGACTATGGCAGAGAGGGTTTAAAAGTCTCATGCCATTGCTGTTCACCACAATGCCTCACATTCACTCATGTACTTAAAACAAATACTCATTGGGTGCCCACTGTGGCCAGATGCCACTAAAAACACTGCCATGGTGTTTCATGTCCAGAGTCTTGTTGTTGTGTTTTCTACAAGGCATTACCCCCTTCACTTGGGTATGGAACTATAAGTTAGCCTGTTTGTGTGGGCGAAAGGAAAATGTCCCTATTCTCAACATGGGAAAATTGAGGTATGCTGATGGTAGGCATCTGTCAAGAGCTGGGGGTGACACAGAATCTATTCTGCCTGCAAATGAGGTGACTTCTTTATCTCTCTCCACCAGGCCATATGGCCTTCATTGTTTGATTTGTTCATCATATCTCAGAACACCTGTGAGCGTAGTTAATAACATTTTAGTGTTTTGTTAATTTTATTCCACAGAGAGCGAGCATTCAGCCAATTCAGGGAAATTCATATGCTAGAACCTAACACTTAATGGGAAATTAAAAAACACCAGACCATGTTGAACTGAGTTTCTGTCTGGGGAGCTCTCTGAATCTGTTTATTCTTTGCAGGCAATGAAAACTGCATAGAGGTACTTCTGGAGCAAAAATGTTTCCGGAAATTTATCGGCAATCCCTTCACGCCACTGCACTGTGCAATGTAAGTGGAGAGGCTGGAAATGTCATGGTGCTCCTTCTGTTCCTTTAGCTGCACGTAGAAAACGTGCCTTTTGTGAATGGAAGAAAGCATTTAGATTGCAGATAAGACTCAGATATTCTCCTCTGCTGCTAAAGACAAATAGGTCTGCTGGCAATGCGTGGGCTCTCGTGTTAATGATTTTCCAGAAGCTACAGTTCCAAGGTGACTCATGTATCCCGTGGTGGTGGGCTGAGAGGCATGATCCATAGATAGGAAGAAATCTTCAGTGGTACCCCCCATTGCCTGGCAAACTCTGAAAAATAAGTCAACGTTAATACCAATATATCTGTAGTTAGTAAGACATTTTCTACCAGGAAGACTTTTCATATAATTCCTCATCTTCATCCTTATCTTTCTTCTCCTCCCTCCACCTCCTCCTCCTCCTTCTCTTTCTTCTCCTCATTCTCCTTCCTTTTATATGTAATTGTTTTTGCAGGTTCATAGAGAGAAACATTGTTCATAGAATGCAGTGACCTTAAGTCGAGTTCCATGAGTCAGCCTGGGGTACAAGACTTGAAAGAGCTTTGTGTTTACACTGTCTCTGGGCTTCCCTTGAAGCTGGGTCATTTGACTGGAGAGATACTAGAGGCATGAAATCAAATCGGTAAAGAAAGGGTAGCTGAGAAAGAATCAAGGTGATTTGGGGGGCTGGAGAGATGGCTAAGTAATTAAGAGTACTTGCTTGCAGAGGACCCAGACTTGGTTCCCAGCACCCACATGGTGGCTAACAGTCATCCATACCAGTTTCATGGGCTCCAGTGCCCTCTTTGAGCATCCCTGGGCACTAGGTACACATGCAGTGCACATACATACATGCAGGAAAAAAACTGATACACATAAAGTAAAAATGGACAAATCGTTTTTAAAATTTATTTTTTTATTTTATGTGCATGGTGTTTTGCCTGCATGTATGTCTGTGTGAGGATGTCGTGTCCCCTGGAATTAGAGTTACAGACAGTTGTGAGCCACCATGTGGATGCTGGGAATTGGTCCTCTGGAAGAGCAGTCAGTGCTCTTAACTGCTGAGCCATCTCTCCAGCCCCAAATGGACAAATCTTAAAAATACTAATCAGGGCGAATTCACGTGTGAAGGATCTGTCTTTTCCACTTTGGTGTCTCGACATCACCTACGTGGGAGCTTGTGTGAATGGTGCTCCAGGGGATCTCACAAACACAGAGGGCCTTAATGGGAGCAGCAGGAAGTTTCAATGTACACTACTGTAGCATGCCATAAATATTAGCATCTGATTTCTAAAAATATATCGAATTGTTAAATACACAGTGCATATAATGATAAGGTGTGAAGGAATATATATTTTAAGTTTTGTCTGTTTTTACACTAAAATCCATTTTCATTTTAGAATAAATGGTCATGAGAACTGTGCATCATTGCTGCTGGGGGCCATAGATTCCAGCATCGTCAGTTGTAGGGATGACAAAGGCCGGTGAGTGATACAGAGGTGTCATGCTTTTGGTCTCAAGTCTTGGTCTTTGTTTTGGGTTGTAGAATAGTAATCCATTTGCTTTTATTTTTATATACACCTATTTTTGGCAGTGCTTAGAATTGAATCCAGGACCTTAGACAAGCTTAGACCAAGCTCCAGCTCCAACCCATAGAGTCTTGCTGTGTAGCTTAGGCTGGCCTTGAACTAGCTATGAAGCCCAGGCAAGCCTCAAACTCATACTCTTCCTGACTCTGCCCTGCTGAGTGCTAGAATCACAGACATGGATGATGCTTGGCCAAAGCGGAAAAATTTTAATTGAGAAAGTAATACATAGTATGTTTTTATGTCCTAGAGATCTTATCTTACTTTTTAAAGCTGCATGTTATTTCATTAAATGAATACATAGCATGTTGCTTAGCCTGACTTCTTTTGAAGAATATTCATGTTGCTTTCAATATTCCATTTCTAAGAAGTAGCTCAGTGAATACTTGGGTGTGAATCTGTTTACATGGCTGAGTATATATAGGAAATGGAGTCCTTGAGTGGAGTTACTTCATTAAGGCTAATGCCTTTTCCGTTTTGATGAGTAGCAATGTCAAGCTCACCTCCCCAGTCACCCCACCATCTGCATTAGGTTATGTAGGCTTATAAGGTTTTTAGCAAACCAACCAGCTACCTACAAACTATCCCTTAATGTTAAAAGTGTCTATCTCACAGACAAGTGAGATCTCACTAGAACTAAAGATTAGAAGGTCGGAATGGTGCTGATTTCCTTATCGGAGTCATTGCATGCATGACCTCCCCATCCCCCCCAAATCTAAGGGGCACCGTTCATATAGGTGACACTTCAGTGGCCACCTCGAATGGGTCTAAGACAGGATTTGGCCATCATTTCCATCAACCCAGAAGCTTTGTGTCTTTAGAAAACATGTCTTTTGATAGTTGCTGCCAGGTTTAAAGGCAATCAATTCGTGCATGTTTGAAACCTTCAGGACGACGCTCCACGCAGCAGCCTTCGGTGACCACGCGGAATGCTTGCAGCTGCTTCTGAGACACGATGCCCAAGTGAACGCCGCAGACAGTTCAGGGAAGACAGCGTTGATGATGGCTGCTGAAAACGGGCAGGCGGGCGCGGTGGGTACGTACTTAGGCTGCGGACTAGAAATCCTGTCAGAGAGAGACGCCAGTGCTGTGCTAGCATGGACATCTGGCAGCGGCCACCCAGGTTTACTGGAGTCACCTACGTGCTCAGTCATCTTCAGCTCTTTGTGACTGTGTCATTGGAAGACTACAGCAAAGTAAACTAATCCTTGAGTGAAATGTCTCAACATTTAGAAGTAAAACATACTAGCAGAGTCATCTTGACTGGGAATACTGACACTGTACTTGGATTTAGCCCAAAAGCTAAGGAGAGGTGGAATGGTGGAACTCCGGGGAACTATGCCTAACCAACTCCCATTTGAATGAAACAAATATGGCATCAAACTGTTCCTTCTTTGCAAACATTAAATATGAGTGTGGGCTATACTAACGTTAGTGTTGTTTTGTGGCCACACTGAAACACGTGTCCAGCACCCAGTCTAAGTTACTCTCTCTTGGTTTTTGTCTATAGATATTTTGGTGAACAGTGCCCAGGCTGACCTGACTGTGAAGGATAAGGACTTGAATACTCCCTTACATCTGGCTATCAGTAAAGTATGTAACGGGTTTAAAACATTGCTGCTTACTGTTGCGATCACAGTAATAATACCACAGGATCTCGGTCCTCCTGGGTCCTAAGTAGCATGGTTTTTCATTTAATGACCATTTCCCAGGACGCTGTCAACTGTACATGGAAATGGAGTGGGAGAAGGAAGGGGCAGAATTCGGGGTGGGTGGATATGCCTGTCACTCATCAGAGTGAATGATGAGGACAGGTCCGATGCATTTGCTACTTGTAATCCCGCCGCAGTCCACCTGTCTCGATTCTGTCCCCATATCTGTTTCCCTGGCTACGGGACCACATTTTGGCACCACACAACAGGGTAAGACATTAGTTACATGGCTTATAAACTCTTAAGCAGTTTCCATTGAGTTCTGTTTGAAGACACTGTGAGAACACAGCCCCAGATCATACCACTGCGAAGCAATATCCGTGTACCTTGTCACTGTTTTCTCATGCGCACGTCAGTGCAGAGTATATGGTAGATTTTTGTCTTTGATAAAAGACACATACAAAACCTGTATGTGTGATTGTAACAAACTGCATTGTGTTATAGTGCCAGGTGACTCCAGCGGTGTCACAAGTCTCAACTCTTCCTCTCATTGGTTATATTTTTATATCCGTGCTCTGGAAAGAACATGGACAGAAGAGACGTGCTCAGGATCTGGAAGTTTATGTCAAAGCACAGTGTGCTACTGACAGGAGCTCCTGTGCTCTGCAGACACCCTCATAGGAAGGAGTCACTTGAGAATGTCGTTAAAACACAGATTCTGGCCAGGCCTGGTAGTACATGCCTCCAACCCTAGCACTCTAGAGACTGGGGTGGGAGAATCAAGGGTTCAAAGCCAGCCTGGACTCCACAGTCAGACCTTATCTCAAAAAACAAAAAATACATGCTCTTTATTAGGTCTAAGTTGGCCTAAGATTTTCTTTTTCTTTTTTGTTTTAGACAGGGTTTTTTACTGTCTCTGTATGCCAGGGAGAGTCAACATTTCTAACTCTCAGATGATACTAACGATGGTGATCTATGCCCTTAATTAGCAAAGATGTAGTAATCCATGACCCTAGACCTAATAATGGATATTTTAATTCTCAAGCATCTATTGTCATAAAATCCAGAGATATCTGTATTTTAGGTTGAGGGGGGGAAAAACACACTCAGGAACAGGGCTTCCTTGGAGCATCAAATAAAATGAAGATAAGTGACACAGATCTGGGGTGTCATGGGAACTCCGGAGATGGATCACTGCAGTGGTAATTGAAGGTTTGAAGAAGGAGGAACCTGATGTATGCTTAAAAAGCAGTGCTGCAGGATTTAAAGGGTACTGCTGATGCTGCACTCCGACTCTCACTGACCTGCTACGCTAGCATCTGCTTCCACTCTCTGGACATTAATTTTAAAAATGACCTTGGAAATATTAATATTAAATATGAATATCTTAGGTCAGTAACATGTTAAACAAGTCCTAACAGGCCCTATGTAGAAGCTTAAGAGTGTCTTGGGCCCCTTTGCTTTTTAGAAAAGGAACTACTCAGAAAATAGTCTTGAATGTTTTCAAGCAGAGGAAACTGGGACTCAGCGGAAAGTACGATCAAGTAAACATTCAGGAACTTTGCTGTATCTCTGCCTCATATGTCTTGCTTTCTCCTTACTAGGGCCATGAGAAGTGTGCCTTGTTAATACTTGACAAGATACAAGATGAGAGCCTTATTAACGCGAAAAACAGCGCACTGCAGACGTGAGTAGACAGCTGTAGCTTGACTTGAGCCCAGAGTCACGGGCCTTATTTTTATTTATTCTTTGGGAGCTTCTTACATGTATACAATGAAATGTGGTCATTTCTACCACCCTTTTCCTCCTCCAACCAACCCAGATCCCTTTAGCATGTTACCTTCCCAACTGCATGCCTCTCCCTCCCCAGTTAACCCATTAAGTCCAGTTTGTGTATGTTGATGTGGACTATACAATGGAGCATGGGAAACCTACCGGTGGCTACATCTGCCAAAAGAATGACTCTCCCCCTGCAACTCTAGCTATCCACTGCAAATAGCTCCTCAGTAAGGGGCGGGGCCTAGAGAGCATCATCCATCCCATATAGGTTGGGATTTTGCCTGGATTGATCTTGTACAAATCTTATGCAGAAAAGCACAGTTACTGTGAGTTCACCAGTGCAATGGCTGTTCTGTGTCCAAAAGACAGCATGCCCCAGCTCTGCTCCCCATCCCCAGGCTTCTCCATTTCCACCATCTTCTCTGAGCTGTTCCTTGAGCCTTGGCCTGTCGGGGAGGGCTGATAAAGGCAAGGCCAGAGTCGTAGTATTTATCTAACACACAGTCAGAGCCTGCTCTGCACTGGTCTAGCTCCGAGAGGCAGAGCCGTGAGCGGTGCTGACTCTTCATGGTGTTTATGCATGCACATCTGCGGTGTTGACCAGGCCTACCTGCTCTTAGGTAGAGCCCTTATTTTGATACAGCTCCTAGGATTTGTAAGTTCTTTGCTCTCCTTACAGGCGCTTCTGTGCCTCATTATAAATTTAGTGAGCTTTTAGAGAAATCTTCTGGGCTTATGAGCTGACATATTTGGGGAAACTGTTTGTATTATGTATTAGCATTATGTAGTCTGGCTGGAAAACATCAGGTTTATAAATCAGGTTCCCAGAATACATTAGAACAATGTCTAAGCTATTTGTCGTGATTATATTTTAATATAATTCAGTGTAACCCTCAGTGTGAAGGATCTGAAAAACTGCTTCGTTTTCCATTTTGGGAAATTACTTATGCATTTGTGTTAAAGGCAAAGAATATTAGGTGTTTTTTTTTTTAATTTAAGATTGTTAAAGGACACAGCACAATATGCTGAGGGTGACACTCTTTTATAAGGTACTGTAACCCAGTGAGACAGCTCTGAACATGCACTAATAAAGGATCTGAGGAGTATAGATTAATACCACTCATCTCAACGAACTGTTTGAAACAGGGACTCAGATTAGCCAGTCTTCTACAAACACAGCAGAGCTTGAATTCTTCCGGCCTTCTCTGTACTGTCACCAAGACTGTTTAAGATGTAGACTATTCATAACACTTGCAGAGAGATCTGGGCCAAACACATGAGAATAGCTGGATCCATAATACCTGGAAAAGATGTGGTCAACATTGCTTTTTTTCAAAAGCAAAAATAACCCTGTACTGTTTGTAGATTCTTAAGTACATCTTCCTTTTAGTGACATAAGTTAATCAAAACGCCACTTTTTTTTTTTTTTACTGTTAATTAGTTTTCTTTTATGTCAATTACCTGAGAGAACCATAAAGACAAAGGACTTGTTTTGGCTCACAGTCTTGCATGTTTCAGTCTATGATTGGTTGGCCCCTTTACTTTGCACATGGCAGCATGTCTTGTCAGGGAACACACAGCTATTCACTCGTAGGACAAAGAGAAAGTGAGAAGGGCTGGCGTGCCTTCAAAGACGTGCTCCAGTGCCCTGAAAATTCTCAGTGGGACCCCCTTACAGGATCCACCCTCTCCCACCTCCACTAAGCCTTTAGCACACAGCCTTTGGGAGATCCCAGCTGTACCTCTCACACAAACTTATATCTCGACTGATGCTCGGTGTTGTCTTTCAGACCCCTCCATATCGCTGCCCGTAATGGCTTGAAGGTGGTAGTTGAGGAGTTGCTGGCCAAAGGAGCCTCTGTACTTGCTGTCGATGAAAATGGTAAGTATGAAAAATTAACAGTTGCTACAGGTTGTGTTGGTTGAAGCCAGAGCACAGTGAGAAAGTTAGGAGCTGCGTAAGAGCCAGGAAGCGGTTTCTTCCCTGTGGAAGTGTCTTATGAGTAAGAAATCAAACCCAGGTAATTTGTCCTTTCTGTCTTTCTGTACAACAATTGTCTACCTGCAGCCCACCATCACTGTCCATGTGGCATGTAACATTACCAGCTGAACATATTTTATTCAGATAATTTCAGGCATGCCAAAAGCCTTTTAGCTTGGCCTTGGGAACTCCAACTGCATACACTAAGGAGTGAGAGAGACACAAGTCATTAGTGGTACACTCCAGGGCTCAATGGAAACAGATATTTGCACTTTTGGTTCATTCCTAGATCAAATGTTTTTGTAAAGTACAGATCAGGACTCACATCTCTCGTATAGAAAGTAGAGAAATATGAATGGAATGTTTACTGAGGTCTAGGCCGGAAGTTTCTCCTCCTGTCCTGTATGACTTGCTTTTCCTAAATGAGCTTATGCTTGTCCAAAGCCTTCCACTCCGCTTGCTGCATCACAAAAACTAATGAAGACCCGAATCCTAATAAACAACCATTGTATGCACAATCCCTCTTAACCTTGGGAAGCAGAAGAGGAACTTCTGGATATCTGTGAATTTAGTAATTTTTGCAGTGTGGCATCCCAGTAAAGTATTCGGATGTATTAATGCTACTCAGTGAGCTGCTTAGCACAGGTATTAGACTTAGCAGCTCATGCCCAGTTCTCAGAAGTCAGCAGCCATGCTGACATCTTGGCTGACGCTTCAGTTCTGTTTCCGCAGCCCCATGTCTCGTAGCATGTACCCTGCTCTCTCCCCAACCCGGCTCGTCTAGAAGTCCAGAGAGTTCTTTTCATCCATAGCCTGCGCTTTCCCAGCTTGATTTCCTTATCTTTAGCAGCACTACATACCTTAAGCTTAGCACGAAGAAGCCCACTGTTCTCCAACATGAGATACTAGAATAAATGGGTGTTGGCATGCCCTTGGGTGTATTCAGTCTGGATCTCTGGATCCAGAAGCTCTGTGTGAGTCAGCCTGCCTTTCTCAGAGTCTAGCTGTGCCCAGTGCTGGGAACATTTGGAGACCACGTCATACCACACTGCCCTAGTAATTCCTTTGCTCATCACTGCTGTTCCAGGAGTGGAATGTTAGGACACCTGGCCCTGTTCATTGTTTTCACTCTGTGAAGATGAAGAATCTCTTCCGGGCTGAGGGTGCAGAGGACCCCAGGTCTAGTGACTTTTGCCAGGACAGTTCCTCTGATGGACGGAGCAAGCTCACTGCTCACTGTGGGAGGGGATCTTGGGACAACAGAATAAAAGTGTGATAATGATAGCAAGTATATCCGAAGAGCAATGCACTCCTTCATGGTGTGTGGAGGTCCAGTTTTCTAGTGAGTTTCTGGAGCCCCGAGTCTGAATGATGGCGTCACCCCACTTAATTATGGCAAACCGTGATTTGTCCCACATTCCTGATAGTTCAGATTTGTGACTTTAGCTGGCGAGGTGACTTTTTTTTAAGGTCTGTTAAAATTCTCTTAAATGGTCATGAGAGTATTAATTACTGACCTCTTCAAATGGTTTTGGCGTTTTATAATAGTAAACTGGTGTGTGCTTTCTATGAAGTTTATATAAAGTGACACCAGCCCTCGGTTTTACCCTTTCTGTGTGACACACACTTGTCATGGAAAGGGACTCCTCTCCTCTGCCGGGTCTGCGGCTCATGGTGTGCATTGCTGTCCGTGGTCACTCCCCCTGGGATGTCTTATTGCTAGTGATTGTGACTTGTGTCCCCAAGCTCCCTTCCTCGCCACACACTTCTGTTCTCTAGATGAAGGCTGGAATCTGCTAACTCGGGATAATACTGTGCTTTCTGTAGACATGTGACCCCACACCAAAACCAGAACCTCCATGAAATGTCGCCCCCTCCCTGCCCCACTCCAGTCTCACAGCAGCATGACTTGTGAGACGTAACTCCTCTTATCTGGCATGAATGCTAACTCAGCATGCATCTCCTCTCGCGAGGTTGTGGGAGATGTACTGTGGAATGCTGTGCGGCTCCGGACCCCCAGGACTAACCACCGCCTTGTTGTCTGCATTTACGCCCAGGTCATACCCCGGCCCTGGCTTGTGCTCCTAACAAAGACGTGGCTGACTGCCTGGCCCTCATTCTGGCTACCATGATGCCTTTTTCTCCTTCCAGCACAATGACGGCTGTCAACTTGGTTTGTTTTAGAAAGGACAATTTGAGCAGGACGACCCTCTCCTCCAATCTGGGTAGCAGAGTCAGTCTGTGCAGTAACAACTTGGGCTCTGAGGATGGGTACAATGAAAACGATTCTGATTCGGAAACATTCTAACTTGGGACTGTAAAGGCATTTCCTCCATTACCTGTGTTGCAGAAAGGGATGGAAGCTTGAATCCCAGAATTGTGCTGTATTCAAGTATTTGAGGCCAAGCTTCCAGAAACCAGTAGAAAAGGAATCCGTCTAACCAAAAGAGGGCAGCTAAGCTGTAGGCTGGAGCACACGCAGAGAGGCCTGCCTGGGTTGGGTTTTGTTGCATATTTTCTTTAGGTGTAAGGTACTTCTGTGAAAGCCTACCTCTGATTTTAAGTAAGGACAATTTCTAAGTGTTTAATTCTTTGTCTTTGGGGATAACGCAGCAGAGAGACAAATGCCCAGTCTAAAGATTTCCTTTTTCATGTACTCACCAGTGAGTTCTGTGAGGTCTAGCAAGTGACATTCGTGTCCCCTGGGAGGGGAGGGAAGAGCGGATAGGAAATGCCTGCACCCTCTTCTCACTCTGGTGTTTACTTCCTCACTAGAAGCCAAAGGTCAAAGTTCATCTTCAGATGTAATGCCTATAATCATCCTCTTAAGGGAGTCCACCTGACCCCGCCTCCTCATAGGAAGCATGTAACTACCCACAACTTCTTCCCAAGATCTTGGCTAAAGTTGCCAGATGAATGTGAACCTTGACCATGCTTTTTTGTTAAACACAAAGTAGCACCCCGGGCTCTCCTTAAGAAACCTGTGAGTAATTTTTCAATGGAGTAATGGATCCCAAATTTATCCAAGAGCGTTTCAGGTGAAATTATATTGTGCCAAAACTTGAAACAATATGCAAGTCAAGTAGGAAATTGCCGTTTAGTGGGTTTGCTCTTAAAGGAAAATACTGACTTCTAAGGGTGTCAGGGCTGGCATTGTCCTTCAACGGTAGAATAGGAAAGTAACTGCTCGGTCAAGGTCCTGGCAGAGGAGTGAGTACTCCTGTAGAAGGGAGCCGAGAAGGTGAACGCAGACGGTTGATGTGGAAGCACCAGCCAATTGCCCGTTGTCGGTCATGAAATCAGCGTTGTGAATACTGTGTCTGCTCCCTCCGCCAAAGCCTCTAGGTCAAACGGACCCCACTCTTCACCTGGAACAGCTGTACAAAAGGAAGAATGAGACTTTAAGAAATACGCACATATACACGCACACACGTGTGTGTATTTATGTATGTACTCCATCCACCAGCTACCCATGAGGACCAAAATGCTTCTGCCTAAAATGGGAGATTCTGAACTTTTTTCTTTCTAAATGCAAGTGAGGACCGCAGTAGCTTTTCTACGGGGTTAAAATATCATCGTTTTTTCGCATACCAGTGTTGCTAGAGTCTTCCTGCCTGGCCCACAGTCAGGACAAATCTCTCTCACCCGCCAGTCCCAAGCCGCTCAAACCCGACCAAGTAAACACAGAGACTTATATTGGTTACAAACTGTATGGCCGTGGCAGGCTTCTTGCTAACTGTTCTTACAGCTTAAATTAATCCATTTCTATTAATCTATACCTTGCCACGTGGCTTGTGGCTTACCGGTACTTTACATCTTCCTTATCCTGATGGCGGCTGGCAGTGTCTCTCTTCCCAGCTTCCTGTTCTCTCAATTTTCCTCTCTGTTAGTCCCGCCTATACTTCCTGCCTGGCCACTGCCAATCAGTGATTTATTCATTGACCAATCAGCAACACATTTGACATACAGACCATCCCACAGCACCTCCCCTTTTCTTTTCTTAAAAAGGAAGGTTTTAACCTTTACACATCTCCAAAGTCAGCTTGGTATATTTGGGAATTTGGGCGTAGCTTTTTTTACTACTTCCTGCTGGAGGGGGGCGCTGTATCTTCTGGGGAAACAAAGAAAATTTTAGAATCATGGAGTAGTCCGTGAGGCTGTATCATCTGAGCCAGTTGTCTTGAATCGGTTCTGGATATTGGATCATCTGGGCCATGGTGTCATCGGAGACCTTTCAGGGGGTCTTGGCTGGTCAAACCTGATGTATCTTATTCTGGAACAAATCCATAGCCTCTTGTTTTCTGTGGAAACAAAAGAGACTCTTTTTCAAAGCAACATATCCTTACATCCAAATTTTGAAGTCAAAGTATCTTTAAAATATACGTACTGGTTTAACTCAGCTTCCTTTACAATCAAACATCTCTCTGTAGTTAAGAATCCCAAAGACAACACAATCCAGACTCTCTGTGTAATAGTCATCTCTACGTGGCTTATTTTTTATATTAATTTTACTGTCTCTTTAAAGACTTTATTTTTTAAAACCATGTATTTGTTTCTATACTGTATATATCACCTTTTTTTGTCTCTTTCAAGCCTACGTATATTTTACACATATTTTAAACTATTACATCTGAATCTGTCTTATTGTAAACCTGTTGCTTTAAATTGCAGCCTTCTAAGCCTGAAACGGCACTGTGGCTGCTGGCTCCGCCCATTTTAGCTTCTCAACATGGCGGTTCCCGCCAGCTCTGGGAACCATCAAGTCTCAGAAATAGTGGGTCTACGCTTTTATCAAAGCAGTGTGTAGCCCAGAAACCTCTTTTTTTTTGTTTTGTTTTGTTTTGTACTAGCAAAGGCTAAATTCACCACATAGCTTAATGTGTCACTTGCAGAGGCCTCATTCCCGCCATACTGCAGGTTGAGCGCGCACGCCAGCAACCCGCCAGTAGCTCAAACCGGCAGCTGCCGCTCATTTGAGAGAGACAATTAGGAAGCTGTTTTTAGCTCCGTTTTAGAATCTTTTTTCTCAGGTTTTAGGTGGAAACTCTTGCCCCACGTTGGGCGCCATTTGTTGCTAGAGTCTTCCTGCCTGGCCCACAGTCAGGACAAATCTCTCTCACCCGCCAGTCCCAAGCCGCTCAAACCCGACCAAGTAAACACAGAGACTTATATTGGTTACAAACTGTATGGCCGTGGCAGGCTTCTTGCTAACTGTTCTTACAGCTTAAATTAATCCATTTCTATTAATCTATACCTTGCCACGTGGCTTGTGGCTTACCGGTACTTTACATCTTCCTTATCCTGATGGCGGCTGGCAGTGTCTCTCTTCCCAGCTTCCTGTTCTCTCAATTTTCCTCTCTGTTAGTCCCGCCTATACTTCCTGCCTGGCCACTGCCAATCAGTGATTTATTCATTGACCAATCAGCAACACATTTGACATACAGACCATCCCACAGCATACCAGTCTTTATTGTAGTTTATATTTCTAACGGCACAGATTTCTAGTTGCTGGCTTGACATTTGTAACTGATGATGTGTTGACCACAGGTTTTGGTTTTTGTGTTGTTTTCAAACTAGAGAAGATGTCTGTATACTTTGATGTAAATGTGTTTATATTTATTTGAAATGAAACAAATGCTGAGGAAATATCCACTGTTTAGGCGCTCTCTCTCTCTCTCTCTCTCTCTCTCTCTCTCTCTCTCTCTCTCTCTCTCTCTCTCTCTCGTTGCTATGTACCTTACTTAGAATAATAAAATCAGTGGGAAAATACCCCCGACTCCAGGCTAGCCAGTAGCTCTGGGGTAAGCCCAGCGTTTCCCACTAACTGCTACAGCTCACCCTCAGGTTTGTTCGCTGCTTGCCCCCATGCTGCAGCCATGGAGAACCCTTCTGTGAGATGAAAACTGATGTCGCAGGTCATATACACAAAGGTAGCCCAAAGAAAGACCCAGAGGCTACAAAAAAACGACACCAAAAATGTCACATGGTCCTGACACTTCATGGGAACTCTGCCAAGTGTGGGCACTGTGCCAAGACAAGGAACTGAAACCAAACACACAGGCAGAGGCCCAAGTGCTGTGTTCCACATGCGGAAGAGTCAGAAAGGAGATCTGGAGCAGTAGGGCACCGCTTCTCAGTGTTTTACAGTAGGGTCTGTCTTCTCCCTCGATTTTTCTACTTTATAGTATTCTAAGAGTTTTAAAAACAGTGCTGTAGCACATCCGGATGAGACCCAGACAGTATATGCTATTGTTCTCGTCAAGCTTGGAGACTTCACCCTTACTATTTTACTATCCTGGATTCAATTAAAACTCACGTTGGTTCTTCACATATGACAACTCGTTTGGAGGTTTTTATAGAACTGATATTGATTTTATCAAACAAATCTTACACCAGCAACATTTTTTTTACGTTCTTGGAGTGAAGGTGTGATGTATCCCTCCATCTGTTCTTTTTGTTTAGAGCAGGTGCATTTTTAGCAAGTAGACAGACTGCTAATGAGCAGCAGTGACCTTATCTTTAGGGAACCCTGCAGATTAAGGGAGCGCTCATGCTGAAGAAGTGTGGTGTACTGTGCTGTCCTGTTCTGGAAGTGAGTGGAAGTCTGGCTGGGTTGGCATTTAAAGCAGGAAACGAAATGCCTGCTCTGGTAGTGACGCAGCCGAGAGCAAGGGGATCACTTCAGCAAAGCACTGTCCTAGCCGGAGCCATGGTGCCACGGAGCTGCGCTGGCCTTCCCTGGATCTTTCTGATAGAGGGAGGACAGAGGAGCACAATGGAATCAAGCTTACAAAGAGCCATTCTTCTGAGTTGGTCTGTCTGTCTGTCTTTCTCTCCTCCTCTGGCTCTGTTCTCCCCCCAGCCCCCGCCAACCCAATAAGACCAAATTTTTTTAAAGAAGTAACTTTTAAAAACTATAACTTCTATGTATTTCAGTTGTCTCATAAATGTCTGCAACATTGCTGTCTGAGAAAAATGTTTTTTTTTTCAGTAGAGTCTGAGTTGCTCAATGCTTTTACCTAAGTGCATGGTTTTTAGATTGTATGTTAACCACAGCCACAAGGGCCATGTTTGATTGCACTTACCTATTCACTGGTGTCTGCCTAGCTCTGGTCAGTTCATTACTATCTCCAAATTGCCTAAAGTCCTAGTAAATAATAGCTCAGGGGATTTCTATTCATCACTACTAAAAGGGCACCATAGTATGTTTTGGTACTTTGGCAGTAAGCGGCCGCGTGACTTACTGTGCCGTCTCTCTAGAACAAGCACACCGATAGATTCTGCTGCACTAGTTAACGCTCGTGCTGCGAGCGAGCGGCTTGGTTTGCGCATCCGTAGCGCTGGTTGAGGAACTCATCCCTTTGTGGTCTTGTAACATGACGTTAGAGTGCCTTTCATATTTGTATATCCTGGAAATGGTCCGTGAAACGTTTTGTATTTTTTCATTTGAGTGTTATTGGAGCAATATAATCCTAGTGAGTTTTCCTTTCTTTGAATGTACCAAGTGTCTCCTTTCCGGTTTCTCCCCTTCTCTGCTTTGAAATGAAAATGCTTAAGTTTTCTATAGGAATTATGTTTGGCTTTGCAGTGCTAAAATGCTTTCTTCTTACAGAACTGTAAACCATAGGTCAGTATTATAGAGGAACAGCGTTTTAAGATAGTGACAATCTGAGCGTGTGTGTCAAGTGTAATTCCCTGTGTTTCCTATGCAGTGATTGGGGATTCAATGCAAGTATCTCTTGTTTGGTAGTTTTGTCTACAGACTACGCTTTAGCATGTGCAATATATCCTTGCAAAGCACGATGATGCACATCTTGTGCCAGTGTTATATTTTGTATGACATATTTGTAACAACATAAACTATTATGTGATGATTTCAGTGGGATTTGTGTCTGTATGTTTAAAATGTAAATTGGAGTTGAATGACTTTGGTAAATGTCATGAGTGTAAAAATGAGGAAAATGGCTTTCAGGTCAGTGAAGGACTTTGAACCAGACTGACTCTCTCCAAGCACAGTTTAGTACTTTGCAACTACTGAATGCTTTAATAATGGAATGAAGTACTTACCTGTAATATACTATGGACATGCATTCAGATGGTTATTTTTACAAATAAAAACGGTACAAATATTGTTGCAATTTGTGTTTTCTTTCATTATTCAGCTGTGTGCTTTTTCAAATTATGCTAATTTAAATCTTTGCTCCCAACTCCAAACCATATTCTGGAAATAAGAAAGCAGCCTCCAGATTTGTTGTTTAGGCTTACATTATCATGCCAAAAAACGAGATTCAAACCTATACGTTATGTTCGTTATATTTACTTATACCTCCAACATTTTTCATAAAGAAGTTCAGGTGAATTATAACAAAAGTCATGTGATAAGCCAGAAACAGGAAATTCACGCAGTTATGGGGATCATCAAGCTTACACAGTAGCTGTGACAGAAGTTGAAGTTTCTGTAAACTTCCGTGTGGTGAGAGGGAAGTGGGCTAATTCGCATATATCAAACAGGAGGAAATCATGTAGGTCCTCACACTCGCAAAACCTATCGCCGGCATCGCCGGCATCGCCAGCACCCTTACAATGTGTGCCTTGATGGAAGCGAACGACTCTGCCGGTGTGCTCGCTCTCCTTAGAGGTAGACCGCAGTCAGCTTCTCCATCTGTTCTAAGTTCCTCCCCTGGATTATCAACTTTGAGGACAGTCCCTGGAAAAGCTGAGGAACAAACCTGACGATGATGGCCCCAGCTGCCGGGAAAGATTTGGGGTGTGTGGCTTGCCCATGTTCCCCGAATCACAGTGTCACAGAGTATGGCATCTCAGTTCTTAAAGACCGGTCCTGTCACCGGCTTTTTCGTGAAGAAAGTGAATTTCAGAGACGTTTTCCATCCTGCTCAGGTTTACAGAGCTAATGATAGGACCACACAGTCCATGTCTCTAGATCTTTCTCTCTTCTGTGCCATTCTGTCAGAGAGGGTTTGTTTTTTTCTAACAAAGGTGTTCTGGAAAGTTTTGTGTTCAATCTTACCTTTATTCTTTATCAAAATATACAAATCTGGATTTTCCGTAAGGACTGTAAATCATGTACCATAACAAAAGTGAATGTTTGCTGTCTATTGAGAATGAACAGTATATTAGTTACATGTAGCTGTGTAACAAATGCCCCCAAACTCAGTGGTTCAACAATAAATGTTTATTATTCTCGTAGTTTCCATGGATCTATCATGGTTACTTTAGGTCTTCTGCTACAGAGTTTCTAATATGATCCAAGGTTGACACATTTCTAAGCTACACATATGGTTATTGGCAAGATTCTTCATAGCTTGTTGGATGAGGGCCTTGCCTTCTTCATGACTCATGGCAGCTTTTGCTGAGTGGACCTTTCCAAAGTGAAGCTCATGACGTGTCTTCCCTCAGGAGATCAGGCAAACTAAGAAAACCTGGAGAAAGAAAAAACAAAACATAGCTCTGGCTTTTGTAACCGAGTCTTAGAAGTGATATCGCACCATTTCCCTCATACTGACTAGAAATAGTTTACTAGATCCTGTCTGTAGTCAAGAGCACAGGATTGCTGAAGGGAATGAGGAGCAGGTGGCAGAATTCACTGGAGCTCCTTGTCACACTGTTCTGTCACGGTGTCCTCAGAAGGCGTAGTACTATCCTAGAATGCCTTTTCCAGGGATGGCTGTGGTGGGAATTGTTTCCTTGCCTCCATAAATCCCTTTCAAGAATAATACAGAGATCCCAATGTTATTTTTGCCCCATAAGCAAGCAACAGTGGCCTCTCCTGCCGTATAATTATGTCAATATACTTCCTTGTCTTCAAATTGCTTATCAAATGATCCTTCTCTGGCTCCATTCAATGGGATTAGAGCCTCACATCTCCATCCTCCACTTAACGTGCCCCAGAGTTAGCTTCGAGGACTCAGGAGTTTTCAGCTTAGAAGGCTATTAATGCGGTATAAAGCCTTGTGGGTAAATGCACTCTATGGATTGTCTTTTTAGCATACATATTTCACTCTGAAGGCACATTGACTGTAAGGTAAAGAGCATTTCCAATCTCCCAGGAAGTAGTTGGAAGTGCATGGGCATTTGTGGTTGGCTCAGTGGAGACAGAGTTGGAGAGGCTACTAACAGCATCTACTCTTTGGAGGCTCGGGGATACCAGATGTGCCACCCAGTTTAGTAACCAGCTGTTCCACATCCCACCCACAGTGTCAATGGTCCCTTTCTCTTCTGCTCATCAAATTACTCTCCTCTTGTTGCTCAATCAATCCTTCATCAACTTATTGCCTGTGAAACTGGTCATATTTCTTTATTTCTGCAAGGAATCATATCAACAGGCTCTGCTACGTGTTCCATGTTAAGGAGAGCTTTCATTAGAAGGTCATCTAAACCCATATATCCTGTTTTTTCACCGGAAGGGATCACATACAGGTGAGTGACAGGACAGCATCATGAATTCAAGGTGAGTATTTAATTCCTGTGTTAGTAAGCACACACACACATGTGCACACATGCATAGTCCTTGTCTTAAGCAAGGGTGAGTATGTCTGCTTTCAGGTGAGGAAACATCTGCTTACAAAGATAGGAAGAGACGTGGCCCAGTGTCACATAGTGAAGTGTGGAAAGACAACACCATGGGTTCTAGACGCGGGTGGACACAGTCTCTGTCTTTAAGTGACAGTTGGAGTATACTTGAATTCAGGAAGGAAGTTATACTTTTCGAAAGTAAAATCATGCAAGTATTTGAAGGACAAAAAGGGTACCTGTGTGCACATTTACTTGATGGAGTGTTACCAGTGGCCTTTGTCTAGAGGGTATTTCCAGACCTTGGTATCTTGTTCACGGAACTGAAGAAGTACACACAAATTTCAAAGTGGCGAGAGATTTTATTCAGAAAGAAGATGCAAGTACAGAATCGATGTGTCTCAAGCAAACAAGAGGTCGTGAGTGAGATTTACTCAAGAGCACTGGGTTACTGTCTGAAGCTGCCTTATATGGGCCCAAGGGGGAGAGGGGTTGGCTACTAAGGTGTGAGATATGGGTGATTTCATTGACAGGCTTCTATAAGCCTTTGATTACTGTGCGTCTTTCCCATGATGCATCTGATTTTAATATTATGTACACCCATAGGCATAATATAGTAAATAAGAAAATTTCCCCTAAAAGTTCATTCAAAGGAAGCAGTTTGCCTTTCTGTACGTGCACCTAAAACCAGTTTAGGCCGGTTTGGCCTATTCTCCTTACTGGATATGTTTAGGATGAGTTTGCAGAAAAACTGCATTGTTTGGATCAGGGTCTCTGCGCAGCTTGGTGCAGGTTGGGGGTCTCGGGTTGGTGAATGCATTGTTAGGAAGTGGGTATGTGTACAGCTCAAGTCAAGTGGGGTTCTGTATTACTGAGTTATCTCTGTGCCGGCCATGGGTGGTGGAGGGTGATTAAAGGGAACACATTGGAGGGGAGAGCCAAGTCCGGGAGGACTCGATGCAGCTGACAAGGTGTTCGGGTGGTGCTTGCTATACGAGTCTGATGGCCTGAGTTTGGATCTCCAGCACCGGCACAGAAGACAGGTGTGGTTGTATAGGTCTATAGCCCTAGAGCTGGGTGGACGGAGGCAGGAGGATTTCCCCAGAGATCTCTGGATAGCCAGTCCAGTCAGTTGTTGAGCTCTGGGCCCTGAGGTCAAACAATAATGTAGAGACCTGTAAAAGAAGACAGCTGATGTTGACCTCTGGCCTCTAAATGCACACAAACACGTGTGTGCCTGTACATACATCACACACACACACACACACACACACACACACACACACACACACACACTGTACACATGTAGATACAAAAATTTTAAGTATTAAAAATTATTTTTAAAATCCCAGAGAGTGGCAATATGACAAATGGCTGAAGAGCACATGATCTGAGAAGAATTGAGAAAATCAGGTTACACTAAAATCCAGTTCTATTCAGGTATTTCACTACCAGTAGAAACACACTCAGATCTGATTTATTGTCAGACTGAAGACTGGTTTTAGGATTAAGCTGAAGCTTTTAAAGGGAAAAAGAATAGCCCTTGACGGTGATACAATGACAGGTTTTAAGAGCATACGGTTTAACCTAAATGTATTTTCCGGGCTCCTCAGAATCCATGACAGATGGCTCAGAGCTGAACAGTGAACAAAAGGTGTGTGTGGACCCGACAAACATCTTAGAGATAATAATGAAAGATTGAGTCCTTCCCGGTGGGCCTTCCATGGAGAACAAAAGACTAAAATTAGTGGAATTCAGTGTTGCTCTTTAAGAGAAAACTAAACATGCTTTAAAACATCACATTTTCCTTTAAAAATGAACTTGCAACTAAAAAAATTAGTTAATGTGGGTTCTGATTCCTTTGGAATTTCCTTTTTTTTTTTCAGAAATTGCTTTACTTGTAATGCCGTGTTTTTATTTTATATCGATCTTAGGTCTGCAATTTATGCCTGGCTATTGTATTATGATTTAAAGTCTGTAGAGATGCTGTTACAGGACCATTACCTATTAACTCATTGATTTTCTGCTGAACTTCACTCACAAGAGGCTATACCTTAGCATGTCAGTTTTGATCAGGCTGCTGGGCACATTTTGTTTTGGCATCAGCATTGAAGCTGCTGATAAAGAGCCCAGTTGGTGCCATCTGGGAGCTTGCTTTGTGATGTCACAGCTGACAATAGAAATTAGATTGAGAAAACCAATTAATATCTCACAGGGCATTTCAGATATTGAAAAAGAAAAGCCTTTTGAAGGGCGCTAACAATAGCTCCTAGAGAGGAGCATCTTTCCTGGTGTGTATTAATGAACCACCCACGTCATCCGTGCCACCAGCCTGACGGTGGATGTGCAGTGCAGGGGAATAGCTCGCTAAAATGACACTTGTGATTAGAGCTTTCACGCCACACGTGAAAAGCCACCTTATTCAACTGCTCAGGCAGGTTTCCAGTTGGAGTGAATAATAAAGAGTCAGCACGCCCTGGGTTCCGATGACGTGCCATGCACCATGCTGAATGCTGTAGGAGAGGGAGACACCATTACTGTCCCCAGGAAGACACAGATGACTGATGACAGATTTGGCTTCAAACATAGTGAAGTGGATTCCAAAAAT